TGCGCGGTGCGAATAGTACGCGCCCTGATGGGCCAGTCGGCCATATCTGCCAGAAATGGAGCACGGGAATCCACTCGTCATTCTCGGGTTACGTATCAAGGTAAGCGCGCGCGCCGAAGCGTTGCCGGCAACGCGCGCGCGCGCGACCGGCGCTGCGGCTCCTCGCAGTTTGACAACGTCGGTTTCTCCGCTTGGCCGTCTGGCGACAAACGAACAAAGTGGCGTCTCGGATCAGGGCGGCGCTGCGCCCTGGTCAATCGTCGGCGGGAGCTGCCAAGAAGCTCGCAGCCAGCGGCTCGCATCCTGTTTTTTATAATGGAAATCTTCCTGCTCAAACTGCGCCCCTAGCCCCCAGGGCTACAACAACAACGGCTCCCGCCTGATACTTGCTCGCAATTGACTGGGGAATCGCTCTCTCGCTAGGGACTTCCCTGCAGTTCATCTAAACATCGCGCTCCCGCCTGTGACTCCCTAGCAGTTTTTTCAGGCGCCGCGCCCTCGCCAATCAGGACTCGCGCTCTCGTCTGGAATGTCCCATAATTTACTTCCGTGTCGCGCTCTCGCCCGAGACTTCCTGGCGAATTATGCAGGGCTCACGCATTCGCGTAACATGCGTTGTTTTTCACTTGAAGTGCCCCTCCTGGAGCTCGCTGCGTTTTGACCGGTGAAGGTCTTCTTGCTCAAATTGAACCCGTGGCCACCGGCTTGCAACAACGACGACGTCAACAACAACAATCATTCCAAGATTATTCGCTCGTACTGGCACGCGTTTCTTGCATTCCGTATGCCCCAACCCTCGATGCCCGCCCACTTCGTCTTCGATTGCGCCCCCTTTCGGGGGGAATCTCTTCCTTGTCGGCCGCTGACTGAAGTGCGGGGAAGTTTCGAGCGAGAGCGCCGTTCCTGAGTTCGAGGGCCTCTCTGGCCAGGGGCTCTCGGAATATTTAATCATGGAGAAATGTCGAACGGGAGCCCTTGTTGCCGTGTCCGGGCCTCCACCAACTTGCCTGAATTACGGGGGCATCTTAAGCGAGAGCGCCGTTCCTGAGTTCGGGGGCCTCTTTGGCCAGGGGTTTTCTGAGTAAATCGTCAGGAAGTACCGAGCAGGAACCCCTGTCGTCGTGGCTGGGCTTCCGCCGCCTTAGTTGAGTTGCGAGGAAGTCTTGGGCGAGAGCGCCGTTCCTGAGTTCGGGGGCCTCTCTGGCCAGGGTGTCTCGGGGCAAGTTGTGAGGAAGTGTCGAGCGGGAACCGTTGTTGTCGTAGCCGGGCCTCCACGGGTCCTATGTAGGTTCGAGCCGACGCTCGAGCGGGGGCCTCGTTTTCACAGGAGACGCAGCCTGCGTCGAGGCGAGAACGTGCGCAACCTTTTCCGGATATCAGCATTACTTATTTTGTAGACATGAGTATTCAAAAGCAGCAACAATCATGTGAAGACTGTTTGCTCTTGTCTGCTCGAGGGTCCGTTGACGCGTGCACCCCAACCCTCGACACCTGCCCTCGTCGTCTTCGATCGTGTCCCTTTGGGGGCGTGTACCTTTCTTCCCTGCAGGCCGGGCCCCGGCAAGTGGCGGGGCGGCCGCGGACCATTGGCCTGGCCAGCGGCAGCGCTGATCGGCGGCAGCCCGACCGCAAGAGGGACGGACAGGGGACCGACCGCGACGACGACGACCACGTCGACGACGACGACGGCGACGACGACGACGACGAGCGAAACCGAGAGCGAGATCGAGAGAGAGAGAGAGAGAGAGACCGGCAACAGGGCCACGAAGGGCACGAAGTAGGCCACGAAGGGCGACAGCGGGGACGCGAAGGGAATGCGTATGGGACCATGAAAAGCGCGAGCGAGCGGGGGCCACGAAGGGCAGATAATGCGGGGCCACAGAAGGCAACGACAGGGCCACTGAGGGTAGCAACTGGGCTGTCACATAGGACAGCGAGGGGGCAGCGAAAGGCGACGGCGGGGCCGCGATGGGCATGCGCGTGGGGCCACGACGGGCGCGAACGAGCGGGGGCCATGAAGGGCGTGCGTGTATTGGGCCGCGGAGGGCAAGGGCGGGGCCGCGGAGGACAGCGAGGGGGCAACGAAGGGCAGAGAGGGGGCCGCGAAGGGCGACAGCGGGGCCAGGAAGGGCACGCATATGGTGCCGCGACGGGGGGGCTACGAAGGGCTGCGGCGGGGCCACTAAGGGCAGCGATGGGGCCACGAAGGGCTGCAACGGGGCCGCGAAGGGCAGCGAGGCGGGCACGAGACGAAGGGCGGGGGGGGGCCACGAAGGGCTGCAACTGGGCCACGAAGGGGGCTGCGACGGGGCCGCGAAGGGCAGCGAGGGGGCCACGAAGGGCTGCAACGGGGCCACGAAGGGCAGCGATGGGGCCACGAATGGTTGCAACGGGGCCACGAAATAAAGCAAGGGGGCCACGAAGGGTTGCGACGGGGCCACGAAGGTCAGCGAGGGAGCCGCGAAGGGCTGCAACGGGGCCACAAAGGGCAGCGAGGGGGTCACGAAGGTCAGCGACGGGGCCGCGAAACAAAGCGAGGGGGCCACGAAGGGTTGCGACGGGGCCACGAAGGGCAGCGATGGGGCCACGAAGGGTTGCAACGGGGCCACGAAGGGCAGCGAGGGGTCCACGAAGGGCTGCGACGGGGCCACGAAGGGCAGCGAGGGGGCCACGAAATATTGCAATGGGGCCGGGAAGGGCAGCGAGATCCCGATTCCTAAGTAATATGTGTGAGCGTGGCTCCTGGGTGCCTGAGTGTCGGGAGCGCGGTGCTTGAGTAAATTGCGGGAAATTCCAACGCAAGGGCGCTATTCTTGAGTAGATTGCAAGCAAGTCTCCAGCGAGAGCGCGACCCCAGAGCGCCGAGAGAACGATTCCGGAGTAAATTGCAAGGAAGTCCCAAGCGAGAGCGCCATTCTTGAATAAAATTAGAGGAAGTCTCGGGCGGGAGCGGGGGTTGTGGCTTTCTTGTGAGGAAGTCTCAGGCGGGAGCCGTTGTTGTTGTAGCCCAGGGGCCAACAACAAGGTTTGAGGAGGAACAGTTTCCCTGATAAAAAACAAGGTGCGAGCGCCTGGAGGGGCGTTTCAGTTGAAACAAATCATTATGCATCGGAGGGGGGATCGGCAACACTTATTCTTTAATAGTGAGGGTTCAACAATTGCTCCCGCCTGATACTTCTCCGCAACTTGCTGCAAAATCGCGCTCTCGCTAGGGACTTCCTTGCAATTAATCGAAGAATCGCGCCTTCGCTTGATACGTCTCCGCGATTTATTCCGACGTCGAGCTGTCGACAATCAGGAATCGCGCTGTCGGTTAGGATTTTCTCGCAATTGATTCAGGCGCCGCGCCCTCGACACTCAGGAATCACGCTCTCGCTTTGGAATTCCTAGAGAGATGTATTTTGGAATCGAGCTGTCGTTCAAGGCTTCCTCGCGGTTTATTCAGGACGCACGCTTCAGCAGCCCGCCTGCTCGACCTGGCCGCCTGGGCCCGCCTGATAGGGTCTACCCGCCCGATCTGCCCGTCTGGTTTTGTCGCGTGTTTTCTGCTAGCCCCCTTCCTGCTATTCTCTCTCGTACTCTATCCTCCTCTCTCCCCCTTGTCCCTTCCTTCCATCCGTCTTGTCTTCCTTTGCCTCAGGTGCTGCACGGAATACACGTTGCAGGTAAGAAATAAATACCCCCAAGGGGGTACGATCGAAGACGAAGAGGGTGGGTATCGAGGGTTTGGGATATATGTGTTGACTGGCACGCGGGCAGATAAGAGCGATCAGTCTTACAATGCTTGTTTTTGCGTTTTTGATGTTGTTGGTGGTGTTAGTGTTGTGTGTTTGTAGTGTGTTTTGTTGTTGTTGCGTTGTTGTTGTAGTTGTAGTCGTTTTTGTTGTTGTTGTTGTTGTTGTTGTTGTTGTTGTTGTTGTTGTTGTTGTTGTTGTTGTTGTTTTGTTTTATTGCTGTTGTTGTGGTTGTTGTTGTCGTCGTTGTTGTTGTCATGGTTGGCGTTGTTGTTGTTCTCGTCGTCGTTGTTAGCGTTGTTGTCATCATTATTGTTGTTGCTGTAGTTGTTGTTGTTGATGCTGCTGCTGTTGTTGTCGTCGTTGGTGTTGTCGTTGTTGCTCTCGTGGTTGTTGATGTTATTGTTGTTGTCGCTGTTGTTGTCGCCGTCGTTCATGTTGTTGTTCTTGTTCTTATTGTTGTTGTTGCTGCTGTTGTTGTTGTTCCTCTTGTTGTGGTTGTTGTTGCTGCTGCTGTTGTTGTTGTTGTTGTTGTTGTTGTTGTTGTTGTTGTTGTTGGTGATGTAGTTGTTGTCGTCGTCGTCGTCGTCGTCGTCGTTGTCGTTGTTGTTGTGGTTGTGGTTGTGGTTGTGGTTGCTGTTGTTGTTGCTGCTGCTGTTATTGTTGTTGTCATTGTTGTTGTTGTGCTTGTTCTTGTTGTTGTGCTTGTCGTTGCTGCTGCTGCTGTTGTTGTGGTTGTTGTTATTGTTGAGGACGGTGATGATGATAAGGAGGAGGAGGTGGGTAGGGCCCCCTTTCGGCCTCGTCCTGCAGCCCCAGTTTTTCTCGGTCTGTCGACTGGTCGGTTCTCTCCTTCCCCCCTTGTCTCCCTTTCCTCTTGCTGCTGCTTCTCCTGTTGCTGCTCCTCCTTCCCCTCCTCCTCCTCCTCCTCCTCCTTTTCGTCCTCTTCCTCCGCTTCCGCCTCCTCCCGTCCCTCTGCTTCTCCCCCTCTCCAGGGCCCCCCCCCTCCTTTCTCTTGTTCTCTGTCTCTCTCTCTCTCTCTCTTTCTCTCTACTCCCTTTTTCTCCAGTCCCCCCCCTCTCTCCCAGCCCCTCCCCTGGCCCCTCGCCGTCCCTGCCGTGCACCCATACCACCCCCTCCTCCCCTCCTGTCTCCTGCCCCCCCCTCCCCCCCTCCCCGCTTCCCGATCTGCCCCCTGCCCGTCCCCCCCCCCTCCCCCCCGCTCCTCCGCTCCCCCCCCCCTGGCCGACCCCCCCTCCTCTCCAGCCGCCCCGCCGCCCGGACCGTGCTGCGAGCTGCTTCCCCCGCGGGGCGACATGGGCCCGCTGCCCACCAGGCCGGCGGCCTCCGAGCTGCTCCTCCGCCCTCCCTTTTCCAGCCCCCCCCCCCTCTACGCCTCGCCCCCCCTTCCTCCCTGCCCTCTCCCCCTTCTCCCCCTCCCCCCCCTATCCTCCCCTCTCCTCCTCCTCTCCTCCTTCCTCCTCCTCCTCCTCCTCCTCCTCCTCCTCACTCCTCCTCCTCCTCCTCCTCCTCTCGCCCCTCCTCCTCCTCCCTCCTCCTCTCCTCTTCCTCCTCCTCCGCCCCCTCCTCCTCCTCCTCCGCCCCCTCTTCCTTCCCCTCGACAGTGACCAGATCTGAAGATTGCTCACCTCTCTCCCCCAGAAGTGGCCAGGGAGGGGCCCGCTCCCTCCGCGTATGGCTTGTATTGCGCGCAGGATATCATACGTTCACCATTGTTTAATATTTTCTCAACCAGCATTGAACAACATTTGCAATTCAACAACATTGCACAGCAACCACAGTGCCGCTTCTCTCTTCCCCCTCCTTCCCTTCTTGCACCCGGGTCATTCTCAATGCCTTCGCTCGGCTTGCCCGAGGGCGCGTGCGGACCTCCTCTGCCACGCTACGGCGTACAATAATGTTGTTCAATGTTTTCGATCGGCAAGTTTCTGGCGTCTCAAAATGGTGCTGACGCTGCAGCGTGGGCCTCATTTCAGGATCGGCGCTTGGCCCCCATCGCTCAGGATGGCGCTCGCTCTCACCAGCGCGGGCCACTTTTCTGGATCCGAATGCTTCTTCATCGTTGTCGCCTCCTCCTCCGCCTTCCCCTGCTCCTCCCGCTCCTCCCGCTCCTTCCACTCCAGCTCCTCCTGCCGCGGCTGTTCGTCCTCGTCCTCCTCCTTCCTCCTCCTCTTCCTTTCTCTCACTCACGCCGCACTCGAGGGGGGTCCTTCTTGGAGGTCCAGTTCCGCGATGACACGCGTCGGCGAGGAGAGGAAACATCAGCGCAACGGGAAGGCATGGGTGCGATGGGGGAGGGCGTCAGATATGACGCGAGCGCGCACCTCGCTTATCCTCCCCCCCCTCCCTCCCCTCTCCCCCCCTTCCTCCCTTCCCCCCTCCTCCTTGGCCCCTCCACCCTTTCTCCCTGAGCGCCTCCTCCCTTCCCCCCCCCCTTCGCCCTTGAGCTTCCGCCGCCTCTCCCTCCCCCCCTCCCTCCCCAGCCGCTCCCTCCCTCTCTCCCTCCTCCTCCCTGCCGCTCTCCTCCCTCCCTCCCTTCCCCCCTCCCCTCTTCCCCCCCGCCTCCCTCCTCCTCCCTGCCGCTCTCCTCCCTCCCTCCCTTCCCCCCTGCCTCCCTTCCCCGCTCCCTCCCTCCATCCCTCCCCTTGAGCTGCCTCCGCTCCCCGTCAACCCTCCCTCCCTCCTTCCCCTGCACCGCCCGGAGCCAGCGGCGGGCCCCCTCGCAGGAGAGGCGCTCTCGCCGGCTGCGCCGCCGGCGCCCACGATCTCGCAGCGCCCCCCCGCCCTTCCTCGGAGGCCCAGAGGCTGACACCAACACCGATGTCGGCGGTGCGCCTCCACCGAAGGAAGGGGAACCCGACTTCGGTGATGCAGGCAGTCTTTGGGCTTCCTATGGCCGACATTTCATTGCCATCAACGTCCAAATCTAAAATCATCTTCCCCTGGTGGGGACCCCCCCCGCTTTGGTGTTGGTGCCCTTTTCCAAGCCTCCAACGTGCCGCGCCTTCCTTCTGCCAGACAGGTCCTCGGGGCCTGGTTTCGATGGGGTCGGTTCGGTCTGACCCATCGACTCGATGCTGGGGCCGCCTGGTCCTGTCCGCTGGCTTTCAAGACGGGCTGCGGGCGCCCGCAGCGGTAGTGCGAGAATGAGCAGAAGGAGGATGATGATATGGGGAGGAGGAAGAGGACGATGAGGAAGAGGAGGAGGAGGACGGGGAGGATAAGGAGGAGGAGGAGGGGGAGGAGGAGGAGTGAGGAGGAGGAAGGAGGAGGAGGAGGAGGAGGAGGGAAGGAGGAGGAAGAGAGGAGGAGAGGTAGGAGGAGAGGAGGGAGGAGGGAGGATGGAGGAGGCGGAGGAGGAGGAGGAGGAGGAGGAGGGAGAGGAGAGAGGAGGAGGATGGAGATGAGGACGGACGAGGATGGACGATAACCATGGAGTAGGCACCGCGGGAGTATGGTTAGGATGATTCAGATGATGCTTAGGCGCCGCGGTGGGCGCCGCGGTAGGCGCCGCGGGAGGATGGATAAGAGGATGAGAAGGAGGAGGAGGATGATGCTGCTGCTGATGATGCTGATGATGATGATGATGATGATGATGATGATGCTGATGCTGATGATGCTGTTGATGATGATCGTGATGATGATGGTGATGATGGTGGTGGTGATGATGATGCTGGTGATGATGATCATGCGGATGCTGATTATGATGATGGTGGTGACGATGGTGGTGGTGGCGGTGATGATGGTGATTAGGGTTATGATGACGGTGATGGTAATGATGATGATGCTGCTGATGATGACTGTGGTGATGATGATGCTGCTTCTGATGATGATGACGACTATGATGAGGCTGAGGATGATGATTCTGGTGCTGATGATGCTAATGATGATGATGATGATGATGATGATGATGATGATGATGATGATGATGAGACTGAGAAGGTTGATGCTGATGATGATGATGATGTTGATGATGACGATACTGCTGCTGATGATGATGCTGATGATGATGATGATGATGATGATGCTGATGTGATGATGTAGTGGCGCTGAGGGTGATGCTGCTGCTGATGACGATGCTGATGATGGCGATGATGACGATGATGATGACGACGCTGATGATGATGCTGTTGTTGATACTGATGATGGTGATGATGACAATGCTGACGATGATGATGATGATGATGATGATGATGATGATGATGATGATGATGATGATGATGATGCTGATACTGATGATGATGCTGCTGCTGATAATGATTTTGATGATGATGATGACGATCATGCTGATGATGATGAGGATGGTTGTGATGGTGATGGTGATGGTGATGGTGATGGTGGTGGTGGTGTTGATAATGATAATGATGCTGACGCTGATGATGACTATGATGGTCATAGTGATGGTGGTGGTGCTGGTGATGCTGGTACTGCCCGCTGCTGCTAATGACGACGAGGATAACGATGATGATGGGGACGAGGAGGAGGAGGAGGAGGAGGAGGAGGAGGAGGATGCTGCTGCTGCTGCTGCTGCTGATGATGATGATGATGATGATGATGATGATGATGATGATGATGATGATGATGATGATGATGGAGGCGGAGCAGGAGGAGGAGGAGGAGTAGGAGGAGGAGGAGGAAGAGGAGGATGGGCACATGGCGCGAGGAAATGTGAGGTGTTATTTTCGACAAAGACCAGCCAGAATTCCGGTTTACGGTTTGGCCTTTCAAGCATTTGCAATTTCACGATTAGGGGAACATCCAGGCGAAACGCCACAGAGCAGAAGGGAGGAGGAGGAGGTGGCGGAGGAGGAGGAGGAGGCGGAGGAGGAAGAGGAGGAGGAGGAGGAGGAGGAGGAAGAGCAGGGGAGGAGGAGGAGGAGGAGGAGGAGGAGGAGGAGGAGGAGGAGGAGGAGGAGGAGGAGGAGGAGGAGGAGGAGGAGGAGGAGGAGGAGGAGGACGAGGAGGACGAGGAGCAAGGTAAGGTGGAATCCAGGAGGAGGGTGAGAGGAAGGAGAAGTACCCCTGGGCGAGGCAGCCCTGCTTTGCGTGTTTGCGGAATTCCAGCTTGCCGCTCACCCCCACATGCGGGACAAAGGGGCTTGGCCCACGCAATCTCCAATTCGGCTGTTTTTGCGGCTGCCGCGTTTGGCGATGCCTGAGCTTTGGCGCGGGGGCGCTTCTTTAGTTCGGGGTGCGGCTGCGCATGCGGCAAGATCAGAGAAATTTGTGACTAGGGTCTTTCATGGATGATTTTGTTTGTAGCTTTCCGGGTCGCGATTCCAGGCAGTTCAGGGATACGTGGTTTCAGAACCAGCAGAGATACGTGGTCTCAGAACCAACCTTCATTGTAGCGAAGCCTGTATGATTTTATATGCTGGCCCAGGTGGCCAGCAGGCTGGAGACCAACCAGCGGTGATTCCAAATATAGGGCAGGGGGGATTGTGATTACGATCGTGAGGATGAAACCATATTCTACAGTGCTGCAGTATTCTAGCCCTGCTTCCCGCTGTTCTACTCGACTCGTATTTCTCCTCACTCTGCTTAGCCCTCCTCCGCTCTATGATACTGTAACTTAAATGCGCCTTCCCTCTCTGACCTGCTCTGTGCCACTCTGCTCTACGCTGCTCTGCTCTACACTATTATGACATGATCATTTTTATATTCGACTCTAGGCATCCATTGATGAAACCAAGTGGGATCCACGAGTCCTATCCCTCTGAATCAGTATGTATCCGTGTGGGTCAATTTGACTAGGCCATGCTCCAAACCTGTATTGTGAAGTCAGTGCAAGCCCACTGACGTCTGTAGTAGAGCGAAGCTGTTCGTGGAGAGTGCACACACGCAACAAGCTACGAGCGCTGTCGGCGACTCTCACTAGGTATTCCCGCTGCTGCTGTGTGAATCATCATCGCGTTCGTTATACTTGTGCTCCTTTTTGATTGTGAACGGTGAGATCTTCCTGCTGTACCCTGGTCGCATTCATCTTCTGTTGCCGTTCCGAATCCTTGCCAGCCGCGACACAAGCACATCGCAGATGCTGCTCGCGAGTCAGCTGATCTCGACATAGTAGGTCCTTGTGAGCGTGTGCCAGCCTTGCTGATCGCACTGTCTTTGCAGCAACAGTTGCTGCAGATATTGTTTTTCAACTTTTCTTGGCCGCGCTGGCCCCGGGCACTCAACAAGCATGCTAGAAGAACGCACAGCCCACATCGACGTGTAATCAAGATCTCTTGGTAACGTGTGCGCATGGGCCTTGAGCCGGGCCAGTGCGAGCCTACTTTTCGGCTCTGATGCGAACTTTTTGGAGACTCGACAGGAGTAGCTAGAGTGTACATCGTTGTAATTTTCCGCAGCGCAGAGCGCTCGCGTGAACATTACAGTCGTGTGTGCAAGGAGAGATGTCTGCCGTGCTTTCCCGTGCTTTCTTATTCAATCGCTTCGCTCACTCCGCCGGCCCGTATGGCATGATCGCTACTGCTTCGGCGTGGGCTCGGGGCCATTTCGGCGCCGCCGGAAGGAGGAAGATAAGGATGGGGAGGGGGAGGGGAGGAGGAGAAGAGGATGAGAAGGAACGGAGGAGGATGAAGATAAATATGAGGAGGAGGAGGAGGAGGAAGAGAAAAGGACGGATGAGGAAGCCTCTCGATGGCATCTTACGGCGCTCTTGGGGCCAAACAGGGCCGTCGTCCAGATGCTTCTTTGGGAGGCCCTGGGGTCTGTTGAGAGGCCGTTCGGGGGCGCCTGGGAGACATTTTTGAAGCCTTGTAGGGCCTCTTTTGAGCCTCCTTGGAGCCTCCAGGGGTCTCTTGGGGGCCTCTTGGCGGCATCTTGGGCCATCTTGGGGGCCTCTCGGGGCCTCCTGGGGCCCTCTTGGGGCGGAAGGCTTGAGGTTTCGGTTCGTGGTCCCCATCTTGGGCCCCTGTTGGGGCCGTCTTGGGGCTCTCTTGGGCCGTCTCGGGGCCCGTTTGGGCTCTCGGGGGCCTTCTTGGGGGCCTCTTGAGCAGTCTTCGTGCGCTCTTGGGGGCCTCTTGGGCCGTCTTGGAACATCGGAAAGCCGAAAATGCGACAAGGCCAACATCCTTCCAAAACCATCGTAAAATTGATGATTTTGGCCTCTCGGGGCGCTCTTGTGAGGCCTCTTGGAGGCCACTTGGAGCGTCTTGGCGGCTTCTTGGGCCGTCTTGGGATCATCTTCGGCGTCTTGGAGCGTCCTTTGGGCGTCTCGGGGGCCTCTTGGGCAGTCTTGGGGGCCTCTTGGGGCCCTCTTGGCGCGCTCTGGGGGGCCTGAGAGGCCGTACCCAGGAGGAAAACCATCTCTGAGTAGACCTTCCCGGGACCTTCCCGGGACCTTCCCGGGACCTTCCTGGGACCTTCCCGGGACCTTCCCGGGACCTTCCCGGGCTGCGGTCGGGGTACTTTTCGCCGGGGGACCCCCAGGGACCGCCCCGCGCGCCCGAAGTAGAAGAATTGTGAACCACTTACCCGAGATCTTAGCACGCCTCTGGCCCGTGGGGCCGGCGAATTGAGAGAAGGACGGGATGCCGAGGACACGGCGCACGAGTTGGAGTCAGGTGTGGATGCTAGAGGCAGGGTCGGCGGTGGGCGTCTCTCCTTGCCGCTCCTGCAAGTGCATCACGACCCTAGGTGTGTCGGGAGCGCAAGCAGTAGTTCCTTACGTAGGCCCGCCCGCGGCGCCTCTGTTGAAGTGCTTGCAGTGCTTCCAGAAATAGGTGCCTGGCCTGTAGCAGCGTGCTTCGTGGCGTGCTGTGCCCGTGGCCACAACCGCAGGCATTCCGGGAGCTTGTCACAGGCGGGCATCGAGGGACGACGCTAGGCACATTCTCACACGCATCTTCGTTTCGAAGGCAATTCCAGGCCAGATTGTAACGCGAAGGCAGAGGA